AGTGTGCATGTGCACATGCAGGATGTAATTAATGCATAATTTTAAAAAAAGCTGTTATATACATGCACCTTTAACCGTAGCTGAGGGCATTCCCGGCTGCAAGAGACCATGCACTCGCTTAGTGCAGTCCCCACACTTAATGCATATTTTTAAAAAAGCTGTTATATACACACACCTCTAACTGTAGCTGAGGGCATTCCCAGGCTGCAAGAGAGCATGCACTCGCTTAGTGCAGTCCCCACATAGCCCAGGCCAGGGGTTTCTTCCCGGCTATACTTCCTTAGCACCAACATTGCTGTGTCTGAGTGAAAGAAATGCTCCAGAATGGCAGCCAGGGGCAATGTGAAGGGTGGGATATTGATCCAGTTGGGATCCTTGTTGGCAGCTGTGGAGACTACTCCAGCTTGCTGGGCTCTGTGCCATTTTTCTGATGGACTCCGAGGTGGTGGTGGCGTTATGGGAGTTTTGTTCTGGTTTCATGGTTTTGTCCTTGTCCCTACCTTGCTGTACCTCAGTTCTTATTTGTTTCCTACATAACCAGTCTGGAACAGAGCATTTCCACTTGCAGAAATAAATCTGTGCACATGCAGAGATCCCCTGGGACCCAAGACCTGGCTGTTTGCTGGCCGAATCTCTTCCCAAAGCCTTTGCATGGCTGTTCACCGAGTCATTGCTGTGAGAAACATGCGTGGCTGTGTCTGTAAGGAGAAATAACTTGTTCAAAATGGGCCCAAAGGACCTACTTCGTTGTAATTTAAAGAACAGTTGATGTCAATGTCTCGAATTTATGGGAAACTGCTGCTCTGAAACCAAGATGGACTAATAGGAGGCATGTGCACTTGTAACCAAAGTGGGACTAGTGAGGTGCTGGGGTTAAGCGTGCTTCATAGTGAGGCTGCCGTGTGGGTTGGGTATTAAATGCTGACTTTCTGTGAGACCTTGGCTGCCTTTCCACTCCTGGGATGGAGCTGCTCTGAAAGTGCTGCCCTTTACCCTCTTGGGTCCCTTGTCCAAAGGGGAAGGGAGCCCTCAAATCTCAGCCCTCGGTTCTGCCCCTAGGAAAAGGCTGGCATCCCTACTTGCAGAAAGTGCAGTGAAGAAATTGTCAAGTTTCTGCTGCACCATCATGACCAGATGATGCTGGGGTGTCACCAAGGTGGTGGTGCAGGCTGTGTCCACATTCCTACAGTGATTTTTAAGAGTGAAATTAGACCCCAAACCCTTGTCAGGACAAATTTCATGGCTTCTGGCATTTTGTTGGTTGAATTTGAAAGGTAAATCAGCAGGTCCCTGCCAGCCAGTCTGCTCTATGACCTAGCAAATGTTCTAGTTCAGCAACAGATGCATTTACAGGTGGCCTGAGATAATGGCTGCCAGTCTGAAGCCAAGGATTGGATTGCTGTAAGGAAGAAAAACCTTGTATCTGGTTTTCTGACAGTACCATAGTCATTGTGGAATGGATTTACAGTGACAAGAAGCAAACAGGAAGCTGTGTGCAACTCCTTAAACCCACCAGATGTGCAAAGTCTTATAGACGGCAGTCTGTTTATTACAACCAATGTCCTGGTAGATTGCCAGGGTTGCAAAACATACGTAGGCTGGAGAGGAAAAGGAAACGGAAACTATGTCAGTCATCAGCAGAATATGATTTAGCAATTTCAGATCTGGAAAGATGGCTTGCAGGTGTTCTTCAGGTTATATCCATGATTCACAACCCTTCTTCGTATTAAATACAGATGTTAGAGCATGCAGTCTGGGGCACTATTGACACAGACTCTTAGGGGATGCTTGCTGAGGATGGATGCTTAAAGCAGTAAGAGCTCAAAATCTCCAGGGGGTTGTTGCAACACTTGGAAGGACCTCCTGACCCTCAAAGCTACAAACTGTATTCAGCAGAAGTAAAGATATTCATGATTAGGACAGACCATACAGCCCTGCAGTAGCTCAGTAGCTGCTGGAAAAACTTCAATACCAACAAGTGTAGCTAGAACTGCCCTGTTCTTGTGCCTCACCTTGCTGCCTGGGGCAGCTGCTTGGAGGGGCAAGCGGTTGCTGAAGAGACCAAGTCTACTTGGGAGGAGGTGTCCACCTCTCCTCATGGCATAGTCCTGGTTCATCCAGGTAATCATCATCTCTGGGATCGGCCTAACCAAAGCTTCCCAAAATGGGAACTATCTCTGGGTATGGGCCAAGGGAAAGATCATCTGGCAAAGGCAGAAGTGCTGTCTCTTGAAAAGATCTGGTAGAAAGCTCTGGTTAGAAGAGGAGGCACTGAGATTAAGCTTGATGTTGCAGAGGATGCTGATCATTGGTGCAGGTGTCAGTTGGTTAATAGCCAGCCTAAATCCTGGACTAAGGGTGAGGAGGACACAGGTTGCATGATGCCGTCCACAGCATCCCCCAGAGCCTCCCTGGTGAGGGAAGCTTGGGGAGCTGCCTCGCAGGGTGGCACCACGGGTAGGGACAACCCTTTCCCTCACTGCTTCTCAGAGTTACCCAGTGACACGGGCGAGATGTGTGTCTGTTGGGTCTCCATGTGCTGTGGGAAACAGCCTAGTGTTTCTAAATAAATCCCAGTTGTGTACTGGGGTGATACTGTCTTTCCTTTGACAGATTTTTCGTCACAAGATGCTGCTGAATTTCATAATGCAAATGATTTAAGGAAGCAGGGCCAGGAGCAGTTGACAGTGTCATTTGATTTTATTTGTACATTGGCACTTCATGTGCGGGACATCTCTGCTTTTTTAAATGAGATATTCCATCAGATTGGGAAAGAACATTTTTCTGTTGCCCAATGCCTAAGCAAAAAACCTAACCAAACAAAACCCCAATATTATAAAGAACAGGAAGATAAGACAAGTTAAACAATGATACTTGACTTTTATGTATAACGCATTGACTTGAAAAATCTGAGTCGTTCTGTCCATATAAACAAGTTATATAGTAGTAACAAAGTGCATGAAGCAAATTGCTAAATTTAACTAAGGTATTAAAATAAAAAGTACTTTAAAACAATACTTTAATACAGATTCTTGCCATGATTCCATCATGCATCAACACAAATCAAATCCTGAGGCAACCTGTGCCTTTGACAGTCTTTCTGCATTATTATGTAAAAAAAAGTGGAAGCGATGGTCAAACTCACAAGAAAGTGAAGAACATCAAGACAAATAACAGAATTGTATTAAAAAATAAAAAAAGAAAAAAAAAATCAAAGTGCACTGCTGGTACGTCTCATTTGAGCCTCTCTGGGATGTGTACAAATGGGTCCTGATCCAGTCTCCAAGAGTTTCTGTTTGTTTGAGCACCAGGGAGTAAAGAAGGATGTGTGTTCTGTCAGGGGCATTACTAGGACAAGCATGAAAACTGAAAAAATTGTACCAGAATATATATATGTAAACATCTTTTGTATACTGAGGAGGCAAATGCTCTTAAATTAGCTGATGGGTGCAGTACTGGTACTTCATGTTTTGGTGCCAGTACCAGACTGGTCCAGTAATTAGCATTTGGATCTATTTCTAATTACAGATAAGGCATATAACAACAAAAAAGTAAATATTTGGTTATTATAGCTCATACAATTCAGCAACCCAACCAGTCAGTGCTTATCTTGCCAATTTTAACAATCTTCAAACTCTTGTCTTCCATCTGTAGATAGTACTGATCTTTGAAAAAGTAGGTGTATCCTGCAAAGAAAACCAAATGCATACGCAGGTTAGGGATAAGGCAGTTCCTGATCAAAAAGCCTTCTTGGCACATTTGTGTTCACTGAGCTGAGTGGCCTGGCAGAGGCATTTCTTGAAATATTGAAATTTTAAAAAGTTAGATGAAGACTCCAGACAGGTCTCATTTTAAATAGTCTTTAGTCTTGGTACCATTTTGTGAGCCTGGATTTTCTGGGTAGAAATATTTGCTTCAACTGATATCAAAACCAAAATCACTTAGGTCTCGCTGACATCAGCATTGCTGTCCCATGCTTCTCGACTAAGTTTTTCCAAACTTTTTAATATCAAGGAAGCAAATGACAAAGAAAGGTCAGATTTAAATAAAATGACTTTCACAAGAAGGATATTAAAAAGCCTATTATTATTGGCTTGGGCTGAAATATTTGGGCAAGGTGGTGTTCCCTAAATGCTTTATTTTGAAAGGTTAAGCCTGTGGTTAGTAGGCTATTTATCAATTGATGCTTACGGGAAAAGGAGGAGGAAAAAGAAGCTTGAGCCAACAGAGCTCAATGCTGCACTAGCCCCTAGCTCCAAAGTGGGAGAAGCTGGAGCTGGTTGTGTGAAGCCCCAGTGGGGCAGGACATGATGGGATGGGATGGGATGTGCCGCTTACCGCTGTCGGTGAGGCCCAGGACGGCGTCGAGGCTATCAGGAACCCCGTTCCAAGAGTCGGCAATGAATTTGGGGGACGCCAGCTCCATTTTCTTCTTTTCTTCATTGTACCTGAAGAGAAGTGTATCCCAACATTATGAATCCCTGTATCCATATAATTGAAGGATTGCTGGTGAATTACATATTACTTCCTGTGACCTTTCATTCTCAGATCTTCACACAGCTTTGTCCTCCCCCTCAGTGATGGTTAAAAGAAGTGCATGTTACAAATGTATGTGTTTCTCTGCAATAAACCCAATGGATCTTGCCCTCTGTGCTTTGGAGGGAAAACCCCAGCTGATGTAAATCCACATCACCCAGGGAAGGGAGGACAGGCAGCTTTCAAAATACCCCTTTGCATCAGGTTTGTGTGGGAAGGACAGGGGAAGGACTGTGGCGTGGAACTGTTTTGACTGCATGTGGCAGAGTCCTTGTGTAAAACACGGCAACCACATCCTGAAGGGTTTCAATGTCTGGGTTAAACACAGGTGGGTTTTTTCCCTCTGATATTTGTCAACTTCTTGCTCTCTGCTCTAAACAGATAGAAATCGCTTCAAGTTACTTGGGTTTCCTAACAACAAATGACATGTTCTGCAATGGCTGCTCTTGATAAGGCACCTTGATAAAAACACTGTCCTCAGAGGGGGAAGTGGGAGGCCCAGGGTACAGTTAATCCAGAGTGGCTGGAGCGGAGAGGGTGGCAGCCTGCCAGCTCGTGGCTGCAGCTCCGGGTGCGATCCAAGTGTTGCAAGCGACCACTCAAGCTCCTTGAGAGCAATAAATAAGATCTGTGCTGCAACAGGGCAGTAAAAATATGAGTAGTAATATCTTTAGGTTTTAAGTTTTTTAAGAGAGATAGATAATGGGAGAGTGATGTCCTTAAAGAAGCTGTAAGAAAATTATGATCAATTGGTAGTTTGGGAAAGGATATTTTATTTACCTGCAGGAAGCCACTGCCTTTAAGATAGAAAATAGATACTTGTCCCGTTTAATCATAGCAGAAAATGACTGTTCATATAAAATTGACTTGGTTATGCTAGTGCTTCCTTCATACCTGATATAGCATCTCTCGGGAAAGGGGTGCTACAAGCTTGGAGAATTTCTGCTTGGTGATTTATTTATTTATTATTTATTATTTTTTCTTAACTCCTTTCCAAATAGTTAATGACTGGCTGAGCCTTCAGGCTGTTGTGTGTGCTTCTTGCCCGAAGTGCTTGTCCCGTCCTCTTGTTCCTGCCCCAGTTGAAGGCGGCGTCGACGCGCTGCACGTCGGCGGGGAGGCCCAGGCTGCTGAGCTTCTTGGGGTAGCCCCGCTCCAGGTTGCTCGCGGAGTAGACCCAGTACTCGTTCCCTACGGGGAGAGCAGAGCCAAGGCACCGCTGAGCGCCGCGTGTGGGGACATGGCTGCTTTGGGCCTTCCCCCTGGCGCTTTCATGGCCCCGTGGTCCCACCAGCCTTCCTAGCGTCCTGCCTGCAGTGAAGCCCTGAGCTAGAGTGCAGGTGTGCTGTAATTATGGTTACTGGTTTGCTTGCTCTGCAGCTGGCTTCACCTCCGTGTGCTTTTTTCTCTCCTGCTTCTTGCCTGTGTCATTTATGTCTGTGAACGTTCTGAGGCAGAGACCGTCTTCGCCCAGCGGACAGCTCCTTGCCACAGAAGTGTAGTTGCAGTTATTGCAAAACAAATAATACTGGTCATTTCCTGTGTGACAGAGAAGGTTGTAAACCATGCACAGGCATCTGAAGGGCAAATGCACAAGCTCATGCTCAACCTCTGTACAAACCCATGGCTTGTTAGATTAGGGGAAAATTTTGACCGATTAACTTGGAAGCTTTTGCTCAGAGTCCTAATTCTGTTGCCTTTCCTGTGCAACAGTTTCTAATGTGCTTCCAAATACAAGCTAGGGGAACAAGTCTGGTCTGTGCTCTTCACGTGGAGTTGCCATTTGTTTAGTGAAAACCAGCCCCAGGCTCACTGAGAGCTGTGGGGAGATGCAATCACAAAAGGATATTTCTTCAGCTCTGGGTCTGACCATAAGCAAAGACTGGACATGAGAAAGGTGCCCAGGGCAGCGTTTGGGTTTGAGGGCGATGCTGCTTTGAGCAGTCAGGAGCAAAGGGAGGGTCTCACTAGTAAGTGTGTTAGGATAGCAGGGTTGCACGTTACATGCAACCAGTCTTTGATCTCATTTTTAATCTCTTTTTAAAAGCAGATTAGTTATATTTTCCTGAAAAATGAAAAGTGGACGAGAGAGTAATGCAGATGTATTAGAATTATATCTATATGTGTGTGTGTCTATAGTGGGAAAGTGGAATGGTGATTCTCACTTGGCTGAAATAAAAGGCGTTCTGAGTTTTGTTTTGTTTTATCCTGTAAAGTAAGGAAGGGAGCCTCGCAGGCCTGCAGGATGGGTTGTTATTCCTTTTCTCCCCTCCTGCTGGGCCCAGCAGAGCGGATAGGGAGCAGCCTCCAGGGAGCCGGGCCCCCGCTGCAGCCCCTGTGTGCTCAGGCAGGCCCAGGTCACGTCTGTAACACTGTACTCTAAAGCATCAAACCGGTACCTGAAAAAAATATCGCTTTCTCGTCCTGCGGGGCCTCGTACACGGCATCAATCTTCTCAGGCAGGTCGGGCCAGAAGGTGGCAACCAGCAGCGGCCCGGTGGGTTTTCCGCGGGGGTTCACGGTCCTCCACATGAACCTGAGGCGGACAGAAAGTTGTACGAGATTTGCAGTGAACTGGCAACGTGGTGAAGGCCACGCACATGTGTGCACATGTAGTGGCTAAAAACACACAATTCCTTTGAGAGCCCATTACTAAGGCAGTTGCACGAGGCTCTGCACGCTGGACTGTGCGTGAAGTCACAGGCGCTGATTGCTGTAGAGTTCCTGTTGCCTCTTGCATTGGAGCAGGATGCATCCTGAGCCCTGATTGTAGGAATAAACTCCTTAACAAGGTGTTTAACCTGCTGGGAGGCTCCTGCCATTGTGCTGGAGCAGCCCATGGGGACCGACAGAAGCAGGGGTTTGTATTCTGTCAATTGCTCTTGCAATTACTACTGTAGTGACTGAATGTTCACTTTTAATAACAGTACATCAAACAGCTTGGAAGTGAATTTCACTGTGCCAGGAACTGCCAGCACTAAAAATGTTCATTAGAAAAATTCATAGGGTAATTTACTGGCTATTGTATGTATAAGCAGGATCATCATTTAAAGATGTTTTAAGTTTTTAAAGATCTTTAGAGGGTGATGCTTTGTGCTGAGGGTATTAAAAGTGGCACTGCTATTTCTCCCTCCAAAGAACAACCGACCTTTTTTCCCTAACAAAATAAAACCTCTAATTTAATAAAATGAAATGTCAACAAGGTAGTGAGATATCGCTATTAAATAAGCATCATGTCAAATATCTTTTACTAATAATACCCAGTCATTAAGTCCTGCATGTTGCTGAGGCTCACGATGCTCCTAGCACCTTCCACCTTCAGACTGATAAAGAGCAATTGCCCATTCCTACCTGTATCGCCATTTTTGGGGGAAACTTGGGAGCTAAAAGAGCATTAGGGTTTTGCCTAAACCTTGGAAGATCAGACCTAAATCAGTTTTGTAAATTGCTGTTTTATCAACAGAAATTTAACTGAGAACAAATAAAGTTATCTGGGACATAGGAAACGTTCCGAAATGCATTTGCAAGTATAATTATCTGCAACATATTCAATTATGGTACTCTATAGTGTTTGCTTGCCAATGTAACTGGCAAAATGAATTATTTTCATTTTTTTAAATGAAAAATGAATACTTATTTAATCTGACATATGCTCCTCATAACCAAGCTAGTAATACAGTTTGCATACAGGTATGTATTTTTAATGTACAAAAATATCTCTGATCATACCTCATTAGAGCTTTGTATTAAAGAGGGGTGAAGAAGAATAATGCATTTAGCTAATTACTCTTGCTCATATCAGTATTTAAATATAAATAAAAAGGCAGTAAGGAGTAATGATAAAATGTATTTCATACATGTCTTTAGAGAAATGGATCCTATGGGGTAAGAAATGGAAGTCCATATAACAAATATCTCTAACACTATGTGAAGAAAGGTAGCTCATGATCGAATTTGGATCAGATTTAGGGATGAATAAGCACTAATAATTACTACCTACAGGGACTCCAGATTTTCAGGAGCCAACAGAGTTGAAGGCAGGTTTTGTGTTAAAGCACACATTTCTTGAGACTTATTAAAATGATGAAGTCTTCTCCTGCAAAGGGAGGTTTTGTCAAAACTCGAGATGTTGAAATTAGTTATTTTGGCTTTCTTGTTCACTTTGAAAGTTTTCCAATGTTTTAAGTCAGGTTAAGTTTTAACATTATATGTCTAGGCAGATTTCATTCATTACAGTCTGGATTTCAAATTATGCTTTAGTATAATCAAGATTTTCCAGCATTAACAATTGCAGTTATTTAAAAGCACCAAATCAGTGTGTTTGGTTTGATTTAGTTATTTGAATTCCCTGGGAAACTTCAGCAGTTTAGATTGTCATTCCTTTTGAGAATAAAACAACCTTTTAGCCTTGGCTGTTCCCTCTGCACCGACAGGATTTCTCCCTTTATCTCCTTGGATTGAGATATGATTTGACGGGGGAGAGGAGAGTCCTTTGCCTGGGATTCCTCAGATCCCTGCGCTCTTTCGGCCTCATGTTGGGGTGAAGGAACAGCCGGGGGTTCTGATGGTTTTTGTTATCAAGGCAGGTAAGCCATAGGAGTCACAAGACATGATAGACGTTTGTTTTTTTAATTTCACTCATGACTCACGGGGTTGCTTCCCAAATGGTTGGAGAGCTGGGGGACTCGCAGGCAAATTAATTCTGAAGCAGAGCACTTAAATAACGGCTGCCTGCTTCTGCGGAGCGCGAGCGTGGGGCGTGAGTCACTGTGCACAGGCTGTTCTGGGGCTTGCGCAGCTCCTTGGCTGACTGTATCTGGCTGTGAGGTGCTTCTGACTGTAAAACACTGACCTGGTTTTGGAATAGGTTTAAAATTGCATCTTGTTGAATTAGGCAGTAAGTGATTGCCAGCCTAGGAAAGTGAAGGCCAGTGGCGCAGGGGACAGGCAGGGCTGCAGGAACAGCCCCCAAAAGGCTCTTTGTTTGCCTTTATGGGTTATAAGGAGGCCCAGCCTGCTGAAGCTGAGGGGAACCTGATCGTGGGTGTCCCCATGCAGATGTGCTCAATGCCTTCTTTTGCCCTAAGCACATGTAGGAGGAACAGGGAATGCTGCGTTCTCGTACCCAGGACTTTTTAATCACAGTTTCTTCATTGCTAGGACACGATGTCTGCAATAAAGATTAGGTCAAATTGCAAACCCAAAACACATTGTCGGGTGTCACCTAGATGGGAACCAGAAGTAACTGCATCCGAGGAAGTGCTGTATACCAGGGACTGTAAAATTATCCATAACCCTGACTTTTCACTGTGAAAAGGCAGTGGGCGGAATTAAACGATGCAGCACAGTAATAAATCCTTCACAACTTCCAGATGGTAACTTAAAATCTGGAAGGGGTGACTGGACATTACACCACCTGCAGACACAAATAACTGTTAAGCTGCTGGTTTCAGAAAGGGCGTTTTGTGCAGGGCCACGTTTGTCACCTCCCTTGACGTTTCCGCTCGGGCAGGTGGCGAGCAGCAGTGACCAGGTGAGTCTGGTGCCTTTTCAGTCTCAGTTGCCTGCAACTGTTGCTGCATGTCCAGGGATAGCGTTTGATGTGGGCACATGTGGTTGTCCCACATCTGCATGGGGAATGGAAGATAAAAGGAAGTTGCAGTGTCCTTGCGGTGTCATTTGAGCAGCCTTGCGTAATATTACTGAAATGATTTTAAACTCACCCTGGACTAAACCTGTTGGGGGCAAGACTGTATTCAGAGATGTCCATAATGGGGCTCTTTTGAGCAGGCCCTTTTCAGCCCAGCCATCACAATGCCTACACTGCAGTTTTGCTCCTCTGTGGTGGCACAGACATTTGGGGTCATTACCACTAACCCTGGATGCATTACTTCTGGGGGAGTCTCTTAGAATTTCCTATTAGAAACTCAGTCCAGTTTTCCTGCAGTTGGCTTTGAAGCTTGCTGCAGCTTGTAGATTTAAGTGCAACCTATAGGGAATGCAGTCCGGAAGGGCAGTGCCTCCAGATTTCTGCTCCACTGCAAGTGATGAAATTTCCACTGCTGAATGGAAATTGTACTACAGTCCTTGTTGTATAGGCTGCGAAAGGCATCCGGAAGGATTTTATAGGGAATGAATCCTCCTTTGGCAGAGAGTAGACTAACTAATACATCCCCTCCATCGCTAATTTTGTGATTAATGTTGCAGATGGGTAAACCTCTAAAGATTCAGGGGTTACATCTGTTTTGAGTAGATATTTAGCAGTTTGGACGTTTCTCCCATCCACTTGACCCCTTTGAACTGGTTGCAGCCCTCGTGTGACTCCACAGGAGCCAGCGCAGTGACATCAGGGGTAACTTTGGCTCTCTAGTCTGTAAAAACTGGGCTGCAAATATCATGAGAGCATTTTTTTTGCCTTCTTGTGTTTCTGGCATTTCTTTGGTTTTGGCTGGAGTTACCGCCAGCCCAGTTGTTGTCATAGCATATCAATTGCAGTCTAGGTCAGAAACAAGGAGTGAAAAACCAGCACAAAACTACCTAAAACCATGAGCGAAGTTGAACATTCCAAAATCTCAAGAAAGTTTGTGTGTATCTGTAGGAAAAGGTGAATTTGGGGTGTAACCATTGTTTATGTCAACTCTCTCGCCTCTCCCAAATTAAAGACAATCTTTTCCATATTATTTAACAGTAAACCCAGAATTTGTGGTCTCCTTCTGGTAGGAGTTGGCTAAGGCCTTTTGCTATCCCTAAGAAGAAAGGGCAGAGATGGTGCCTGATCATAACTTGCTGGTTCTGACCAGATCTGATGGAGTCGTCCATCTGAGGCCAGGTCAGTAAGCAGAGAGCTATCTCACTCACCTGTCTTTGAAGAAGAAGATCTCTCCTCTAATCTGCGCGACGCCGTCAAAAACAATGTCGTGCTTGCAGAGCTCTGGAGTGACAGGTCCAAGGGTTGGACGAGGGCCTGGGCCTGGCCCTGGCCCTGGCCCGGGTTCAACGTCAGTCGATACTTCTGCAATGATGAACAGAAATACTGTGAGTCTGAAATACTGTGTGTCCCCAACAGAACTGTCAGGATTTCATACATGTAAATATCAGAAGGGCAGTAGCTCGAAGACAGTAGCTGAAGCAGAGGGGAAAATATCTAACAGGATCTTTTCTGAAGCAGAGGGCCAGAGTGTAGCTCATGCGGCCGTAGATCTGAGTCCTGGCCCTATGTGGCTGAGTGACCTCATTCAAGACACTGTCTCCATATCTCCTTTTTCCATCCCATGAATCTTGAGCCACCTGTTTAGCTTCAAAGACATTCAGATGCAGCTGTACTGAGTTGAAGTGTTAATCTTGGGATTTTTTTGTTGTACGGACTTTGAGAAAGGAGAGAAATGCACTTTCATGTGTCTTTGTTCAGGCTTATCTGCACCTCAGCTGAGGAGACATCAAAGTGCATTTCTCTTCTTTCCTGAAGTGCTAGCAGTTTACAAGTTTTAAAGGTACAAGTTTTGAGGCAATTGTATGTTATATTTTTCCACCCCCATTCCCGAAGTGCATGAATATTTGATTACTATTTGGTTTATCTGATTTTATTGTATTTTGTTGGCTACTCCTGTATTGCCTTCTGAGGCACTTGGCTTTTTCTTAGATGCAGGGTTGATGTACTTATTTGAACAAAATATGAATGTAGCTGGTATAAGAGAATCTTGAATAGTAAAAGGTTTGTTTCATATATAGAGAGAGTGGACTTAAACAGTAGTAATTCCCACTCATTTTACAAAAGTGCCAGGAGAGAAGACAATAGATTTTAAGCAAGTACCTACATAAAAATGCTTAAAGCCGCCTTCTTTCCCTGGGGCTTGCCAAGCACGTTTTTACACAAGTATTGGCTCACAAGCATCATTTGCAAATGTAATTATGACTGTACGGCCCAAAGTGCTGCAGGGAGGGATGCAAAGGGGTTTCCAGCTGGGACAGGAAACGAAGTCCTTCCGCTCAGCCCCGGGTGGGATCTGGCGAGCCTGGGCTGATGCAGGGCAAAGCACCACACCAGGAATTGCAGGTGAGGGGAGAGCACATGTTTCCTTGGCCCAGTAAAGGCAATGTGAATTTTCATTGATGGGTTTGGCATTTGTCAAGGGAGTCTGGGGGCTTCCGGTATTGCAGAACATTTAGTGACTCCTCATCCTTAAGTTGCGCTATTAGCGAGAAATAGGAGCTCTGGCAATAACATGAAGGAGGCGGGGGAAGGAACAGGGAATGTTTCTGTCATCTGTACAATTTCAATTCCTGCAAGTCCCAAATCCCCTGATTCAGCCTGTTTTTCTGATGATTTCAGCCAGCAGAGGAGGCCCTCACCATATAGCTCCTGGATCCCCTTAATGTCATCCTGGGAGAGTCGGAAGTTCTTGGTGTAGGTGTAGATGGGGGCCATGAGAGCTCCTGGGTCCTCGGAGTGCTCCAGCCCCATGGCGTGGCCAAATTCATGAGCAGCAACCAGGAAGAGGCTGTATCCTGAGCAACACAAGATGGAAACATAGTGCACAGGCTATTCACCATATTCCCATTTCGTTTTCCCGCTACCCATCAAAAGTCTCCCCACAGCAAGTATCTTACTGCAATAAATCACAGCGAATATTTGCAGCCTCTAGTTTTGTGCATCGTATATGTTGCCAACAATGACAAATCAAATTATGGATTTTGATTTTATTGTTTTTTTTCAGCACAGGTTTAAACTCCAAACTAGACCTCAAATCACATTTTGCATCGTAAAATAGCACCCGGGGGCCCAGCAAGTTGGCATGTGTGTATTTGGCTGTGAGCAATGCCTGAACGGGTACTGCCATGCCCGTGGTCAGGTTAAAAGCAATCCGCCTTATCCTAGGGCAGCATTTTGTCAATTAACCCCCAGTGGGCAAGTCTCAGAGGTTTGGCAGTTATTTTCACCCCTAAAAGACAAAGGGGAAATGCTCGTACTCGGAAAACTGATTTTAGTAGTTGTTTAGAAATGTCTTTAAAAAGCCTCAAGTTTTTCTTAGCCACATTACAAATATGGGCAAAGATTAACTGAAATAAATGTTCATTTTCACCATGCAAACTTAACAGCACTGGTTTCATGTTTGGCCGATATCACAGTGTAATTCTTAAGAACTATTGAAATACTGCAATTCCTACTGGGTTTTAGCCCAGTGGAGGGAAAATTGCCAATGAGAAAAACGTTTTCCTTTTTTTGTTGGTTTTTTTGGTTGTTGTTTTTTAATATATTTTGGGAAGATACTTCCTTATAAACATAGCAGAATGGAATATACCGGGTGGAGGAGCGCGTCGCCGTGGCCAGCGGCTTTACCTTGGTCAGGACAGAAGCCCCACTTGCGGTCATCATCGTAGCTGCTGGTGGACGCACACCAGAGCTTGCCGTCGTTACGGCCCGCGCTCGTGCACGACTCGTACTTATTGCCCAGGAAGATGAAGGGGAATACGCAAGGGGCCCCCTCGGAGTTTCCACCGACTGTGGACATTGCTGTGGAGAACAACAGGATAACGTGTGAGTGTTACGTGTTGCACGGCTGATGTTCGGAGCTAAAATGGCCGTCACATGCTCCCGCCGCGCTTGAGGCGGCTCTGGGGCCATTACAAAATGGCTGCTCGCTCGCAGACACGTGGTCCTCTGGCTCGGTGTCTTTGGTGCATCCCTGCTAAACTTGGTACCCTTGATTGTGCCTAATCCATCAAGTTTCATACGCTTGGGGAGGGCTGGGTAGTTTACAGCAAGGGCAAGCAAGAGAAGGCCGGAATCCTACCAGTCTCTGGGCAGAAGCCATATTTCTTGTCTCGATCGTAGTCCTCGGTGGTGCCGCACCATCGGTAGCCGTCTGTGCGCCCTTCGGTCGTGCACTGCTCGTAGGACTGGCCTTGGAACTTGAAGGGGAACTTGCAGGGCTGCCCGTCGCCATTGCCGCCCATGGTGAACAGGGCTGGAGGGGAAAGGACGTAGAAAACCGTGAGTACTGAGCGTGCCGCAGCGATGAGCGGTCGTGACAGGAAGGTCCTGCAAAGATGTTAGGTTTAGCTATCCCTTGTGCCCTGTGCTGTTCACATGTATTTCACAGCCAAAATGAACTGTTCTGGCAAGATAGACTTTGGCGCTTGTTTGTTTGCGTGTTTTTTCCTTTGCTCAGACTGATGCACTGCCAGGAGGAGACACTGATCACTTGGTTAGACTTCTTTTGGCTGAAGGATGGCCAAGGGCTCTAAGGATGGACGTACTGTGACACAGATGAATCATTTTGCCTTTCTTTTCCACTTAAATCAGTAATTGGCTGCGACCGCAGCGTTAAGGGCATGAACTCAAGTTTGCTCCAGGCGCGCCGAGGAGAGGACGTGGAGCTCGCAGGCCTGGCCTTGCGCAGCCTCAGCTCTGGCCAGGCTCTCCTCTGTGTCCTCGTCCTCCTGGCACCGAGGGCCATGGACAGCTCCTGTTGCCAGGCTAGACTCAAAGTGACAGGGACACACCTGACTGTGTCTTACTTTGTGACCCCAAAAGGGGCATGGTGCCATTTTTTGTGCTTGCACCCCAGGCTCTGTAATGCGTTAGGAAACCTGCACTAAGTAGGGCAGTGTTTATACAGATCGAGGAAAGACTATTTTTTTAAATGAATTGGAAAGCAACGTAAGCGGAGTTGTTTAGATGACTCACTTGCCACATGAGCTGCTTCCAACTCTAGATCTGGCAAACGCTACATTTTAATAGCTTTTTTTTATTATTAGTTTAAACATGGCCAAGTTGCAAAAAACCATATGGAAAGTCAGTCTCTCCATGCTTTGTGAGGAGTCCTTCTGAGTCACAGGCAAAATGCAGTTTTTCATTTTGCCCGAGGTACCCTCATGTGATGCTCACAGTCTCCTTCTTCAGCAATGGTCTTTAAGCTTTCAGAGAGGCTTTCCCCTCTGTTGGTTGCAAAACTCTTTACCTTACTGCAAATTAGAATTAAAGAAAGGTGCTAGATGGATTTGCAAGATCTGCAGCTGCTGCTAGTGGGGTGCTTGGGCTGTGCAGCTGGCAGGGGAAACATCTCTGCCTCTTGCTCCTGTCTAGGCTCTGGATTCCTGCGCTGGTCCTGCACAGCTGGCTGGCTTGAATTGGGAGCTGCCCCAAAGCGGCTATGGAACAGGAGAAGGAGAGAAACTACCTGAATGGGTAGGGGAAAGGGCAGCCATGGTGTGTAGGTGTGTGTCTGCCCAGCTGCCTGTAGTCTGTGCTCCGCTCCTGCAGTGGCTGAGCGTGCCTGATATTTTCAAGAAATAAACCTAGGTTTATCCTGTAGGAGAGGGGGCTTGGGGAAAGCAGGGAATGAAGGAGATCACAAGATGAGCGAGGTATGTGTTAGGCTAAAGGAGATAGTTTTTGGTAAATTCAACTCTGTTTAAAGTTTATACTCCTACTTGTGTGTCCCCTCTAAGTCATATGAGTAGCTATCACCATGATAGGTCCCAGCTGCAGATGTGGTATGTAGGCAATCAGGTTTTTAGAAATTAAAAACCATTTTTTATCATGTTAGGAGTAGAAGACTGATGTGTTCTATAACAGATTTTCTCTGAAAGCAGTTATCATCCTCATGTAGTGAAATTGAAATCCCCCTTTGGAAGCTGTATGGTTTTGCAAAGCCCTCGAGCAATCCCAAAACTTGTGAAGCAGGAATCTGTTTATTGTTTGGTTACACAGGCTGGCAGAGAAGCCCAAAGAGAGGGAAGCTGAACTCCTTCCACACACACACACACACGTACACACACGCCTGTGATGTTTTAGCAAACTGTGGGTATTGAATTGGCATATAGACACACATATGTGCACGTGCTTTGCAGGATATGCCGGGCTTGCCTGGGCCACGTAGGGCTGTTCTTAGCTCTGGCAAAGCCCTAAGCCTGTCTTGTCTAGTTAATTTTGCCCTTGAAGCAGCACAAATTTCCTTTCAGCAAAGCGCGTTCTCCTCTGACACAGACCACGTGTAGCCGTACTGCTATGAGTAAGTTGAGTGCTGTGGTTCCAAGCGGGGTTGGTGGGATTAGCCTGGGCTCCAACAAAAGCTCCATTGTCTGCCGCTTTGCTCCCTTTCCTAGCTCTGCTGTTACTCATTAGGACGCAGCGGTAGCGCGTCCTTCCAAGTGATGCTGTGCGCCCGTTGCTCGGGATGTTGGGTTATGTGTGATGAAACCGTCCCTGCTGCCAAGAGCTCCGAGCAGTTAGTTATGTTCAGTGGAAAAAAACGCATACGGGAAACTGCAGTGCGGGGAATGTGGGTGGATGTAGGTGCCAGCACTGGAGCTTGTCAACGGGATACGGAATATACAGCTAAAAGCTCCTTACCGTCTCTTCTCAACCCCCTTCTGCTAAATGAGCCCTGTAGGCTACTACCTTCTGTACTTGCTTGTCTCTCTAGAAGTTTCTTACTGAGTGATATACAGGAGATCGAATTAACACTCATACGGCTACCAATTATCTGAAATTTTGTCCAGTGCAAGCATCATCAAAGTATTCAAGCATGTATTTGTGTGTTCTTAGTGTCTAAAGGGAAGCCTATTGCCATATCATTTCACTATAGAGATAATTATGTTATGTGTATTAAAAAAAATGGCTACATGGAAGTATTATACAAATGGTCTCATCTGTAAATGAATGCTTCCTAAGTCAGTTCAAATAGGAAGTAAAATGCTTGTGAAACCTATAATTCTGTTTGAATGTCAAGAATCTGGAGATTAATTATGATCTTGGCTTTCTAAATCCTCTAGCATTTTTCCACTGATACAGAACTGAGCACACGGGACACACACTGCAATTCCAGAGCATGCTGTGGTGTTCCTGTACCTGAAGTGGGCAACTGGAACCGCTTCATGAGTGTCAAAGGCTGCTGTGGCACGTGTTAAAGCCTGAACTCGAAGAATGCAAATGCTTTCCTAGTTAGCAATGTGCAGGGTAACTTTGTACCAGCATTGGATTTCAACTGAAAATCAATCATGCTTATTTTGAAAAGCAACACAGTAGTGGGAGACATTTCCATGACTTGGTGTGCTTCATCTGCGTGTTTGGCCCTATCCTTCCTCTGAAAGGTGCCCGTAGCTCATGAACCTGATCCAGCAGTGTCCTAGATGTATGAGAGGCCTGCATTGCCTCAGATGCATCTTGAACAGCTCCTTGATCTTAGAGAAAGGAGCTGGCACAGGTCATCATCAGTTGCAAACGCTGGTATATGAAAGGGGTCTTTACAGAGCTAAGCCTGAAGAGCTATTGAAGAGCGATAAATCTAAATATGGTGTCATGGACATGGGAGAAGTACAAGGAGAAATAGACAGCTAAAAATAAGAAGAGAATAATCTCCTAGAAGAAAAAAACATTAGAAACCATGTTCCACTTACACTCATGGGGACAAAAGCCGTATTTGCCGTCTGCATCGAAGTCTTTGGTCGTCGAACACCAGAGGAAGCCATCGCTGCGGCCCGCATCAGTGCAGCTGTTGTATTCCTTGCCATTGAACCAGAAGGGGAATTTGCAGTATTCGCCATCCGCGTTTCCGTACTTCACCCTAACCACTGTACAGAGAGACAGCAGGCACCAGGATGAGACGAGCCAACCCTCCCGTTCGCAGGGACGATGCTGCGGAAACGTGCTCTGCGTTTCCACTCTGAAATTCTATGCCCTGCTGGGCTCTCTATTGGCAAGGTAATCACAGCTGAAATAGTAACTGGTAATTTTGAAAGAATTACATGGATATTACTCAGTGTGAACTGTTAGAATGATCAGTCCTTAAAATCTGCCGAGAAAAAATATATGTTTTTGTTACTATGGCAATGCAAACTTGCAAACAGGCTGTTAATATATTTAGTAATTTAGCTTCTGGGGTAATATGGTTTGCGATGTGCAGTATAATTTGAGAGATTCCAGACAGCACTTTGAGCACGAGCAGAATATGCCACGTGCCTCATAAACCTCTTTGGTATTTCCAGTTTGCCCCGAGCAAGCTCTGCTGCATGGAGGGATCCGGTGGTAACGCAGGCACATCTGGCTCCTGGGATTTGGATCAGTTTGTCGCATAGGAATATTTTTCTCAAGCCTGCAGTGCTGGTGCTATAGTGTATGTTAGCTTGCAGGCAATCTACTTATCCGTAGCACTTTTTTATTGGCAGTAACTGGGCATTTGTTCAATACATGCACTAATACAGAGAAGAGTTTGCCCCAGCTCACTGTGATCCTGTCTGGTTTCGGCAGCTACCAGTAAGAGCCTCTGCTGAAGTTACAGGAGAGACAGAAAATGACTGTTTTGGTCTTCAGTTATGTTTTGAATTTACACTTTAAGGTTGTGCTGTGCCAGGCCTATTATTAACTCTGTTTCTTCAAGAAGTAACAGAAGAAGAATAGAAAGTGAAGTCCTATGAAACACATACTTAAGGATTAAATAAACATTTTAGAGAAAAACAGTTTAAATTTCAAGAACCGATAACTTGAGCATGTCAGTGAAAACATTTCATGTGGTGCCTGAAGTGTCACTGAGACACAGTGCTCAAACACTGAGACCTGGTACCTTGGCCCTCGCCGAGGGTCCACAGTTCATCATCGTCAAAGTGGGAGTCTCCTCCAATTCCCGGCCCCGGTGCAAAAGCGTGAGCCAGGAGACCGTCTTTGCCATCAAAGGGGTAGCCGTCGCCGTGCTCTGCAGGAGAAAGCAGACGGGGAGAGAGGCATTTCTAATGACTCAGCTCTTTTCTTTGCACCAACTTCGAGCAGGAAAGCAAAGGGGCTGAGCACTTCTCACTCCGGTGACAAGCTGAGCCCCGTTTGATGCCCTGAGTGCCGTGAAGGAGCCCGTCCCTCCTCCCCGCTGACCGCTTGAGGCTCAGCCTCCCCGCAGGGCAGCAGCGCTGTAAGTAGCTCTCCTGTTAGGACACTGTAGGCTTTTCTTGGGAGGCCGGGGCTGCGGCTGGAGCAGGCTGGCAGGGGCATAGCCGGGCATTCATCGCTCGCCCGGGCAGCCCCGTGCCTGCCAGCTCCTCCCGTTGCATCGTTCAGGCCTTCTGGCCTGAGGTCTTGCCTGAAATACAGAGGCCTGATTCTGTGCTCTGCTACACTGATTTCATGCTGGGGTTGGTCTCTTGATATTAGCTCGGTTTATTCATTGCTGTAAACTAGTGTTGGTTGTTAAGGGCCAGGTTTTCAAGTACATTTAGGTGCTTAATTCTCATTCATTTCAAAGCAGATTCTTTGCTTAAGAGACAGCTTAGCAATGAATAAGCTCATGGAAGTCCCAGCTCCTGTGAATCTGTCACGCAGTAAAGTGCTAAGAACGAAGTGGAAGAAACTTTTCCCCCCCCACTATTTCTGACTATAATCAGCAAATGTCAAAACCAGAGGAACACTTCTGCCTTTGTAAGAGTTCCCTTCTGAGACCCAAGCCAGCCCAGATGAGAATCTGAAGTTTTGGGTTCTGTACAGAATCTCTGAAGCCTTTGAGGTCAATTCATCGGTAGCTTAAGCAAGGAAAACCAGCTGGAAAGGGAGTCTTGTGCACAGAGCTCAGTTATTCCTCAAGCTTTTCACGTTAGTTTCAAGGTCTACATCCCAAGTGAGTGCTCTGCACAAGTGCCTTCTTAGCATTATAAATTCTGTGTCTATCTATAAGTTAAAATGCTCCAGGTACACACTGAAAAGCCATATATGTTCTTTCAGGGGAAACCGCAACTGATGTGGAAGACATGTAGAACTAACAGGCATCATGTTGCTTACTGTGAGCTGGACCCAAATTAGACCTCAGCTTGAGGTCTGTGCTTTGAGATTCCCTGAGACTAGAGTACATTGCAAACCTTTGTACCGCTCTGCCCAAGAGTGGAGATGAGCTATGGAGTTAAAACTAGAAGTCATAAAGCCATTTTTAAGGTCCATCATGTTAGAATCTCTTCCACTAGCTCTGGAAGATGGAACAGAGTCAAATAAATGAAGAGCTTGATGGCATTCCTTGCTCCTCTATGGAGGGAAGCCAGTTCACATCGTCTGAAGATCTGTACCAATACTTCCCAGTTCTATTTCTGATTGGCAAGGTTAAAAATAAGATGTTGCCCCTAGCAATTCTCTTTTGGAAAGATAAATATAGCATAAGGTTATTGTATAAATATTTCTGTCTCTCTCTCAGTTATAAGAAAGAAGAAAAATCTTAGTGAAATTAGATCTCAGCCGGTACAAGCCAAGTGCAAACTAGGACAAGGTTTGCCAGAAAGGCTCGTGGGTGGTGCTTATTGAGGGTAGATCATTCCAGAACTGAGGATTAATGAAAGGAACAAAACCAAAAACATATGTAAAAATAGAAAAATATACCCCATCTGCCAAAATTAATCATAATGTCTGCTTCTCCATCGTTTATTCGGTTAAATCTCAGCGGTGTGACGTCACTCCAGACTTGGAACGCTCGGGCAAAAGCATCATCCACTGTCTCGGGATCCAAATCTGGTGTATAGCCTATAATCCTTAGAGGCAAAAGGAAGAGTTAATTCAAATATTAAATATTCAGGGTTTTACCCCAAATCTTCCTGGTTTCACCTTTGTGCTAAGGTGCTGGCAAGACAGAACCTCACGGTCTTTTGCTCCACTGAGGTTTATGTTTTTGAAAACTTTTTAGTGGCTTTGCTAGTCATGCTCATGTTTTAGACTTGAACATACAAGCACAGGGCTGGTTTGTCAGAGCACTTGAGCCTTCTATTTACCCAAAAAACAGCTCACTGTAGTTTTAAAGGTTTCTGGAGTGAATTAATTTGCTCTTTAGTAAGACAACAGCCCTGTATGTGACTCCTTAAATGATTCGGAATCCTGTGGATAATGAATTAACCTGTTTTCTTTTACTTCGTTTTGATTTTTAAAGTCCCTCATACAGTTACACTGTTAGATCTTCAGATTAGAAGTTGGTTTTTAGCATGGAAAATGTCCATCCTGCAGTTTATTTTAGCAGTGTTTACTCCTGATGTTGCTGACTGATCACTCCTCATTTATGGTCAGGTACTTAAGTGGCCTCTTGCTTTGGGCTTTTCAACAGTCGGGCTAATCAATAGTGACTGGTAAATGCACAATAATGCATTTGTTTTATTTTAAAAGTGTTTTGATGGCCTCCTTTTCATGCCTGCTGAATACAGGAGTTTGGTCTCCTACATATGCTCTGCAGTTGCAAAGTTCTCTTGTCCCCACTGGGCAGCCGGGCACACGAACTGGAACTGCTCGTGCTCCAGATCCCACAGGACACTTGCAGTGGAGCACGGAACAAAACCAACATCCCATTAGTCTCAACGAGAACCTTTAAGCTCAGTTTTACATGATTATTCCTCAATTTTTCCAATTTAAAATTTCAGAGTGTTTGCTTGAGCATCCACTAGTTAGCGAAACCCAATTGCAGAGCAGTAATAATTCAAGAAGTCCTACCTAGTCCACCAAGCACTGCCCCACATCTGCCTGCCTCATTCAGCTGGTTCTTAAAAGCAGAATGCATAAATGTGTACAGGACAACCCTGCTAGCCAGTACCTGTATGTTATATGATTTTTTTCCCATTTTGGCTTTCTTGGAAAGAAGTTGTAGTTGGCCACATCTGGATTACCACAGCGTGGTTTCTTCATTGTCTCAATGGTATTTTGATCCAAATCTCCTGTTTCAGGCAGCCCAAAAAATTTCTGCATTTTCTTCAAAGTATCTTTCAGTACAAATAAATTGCAATTGTCTTTTGGGCACCCATAGTATTTGTTCAGGTATTGCTTGAGGGGAAAAAGAAAAGGCACAAAACAAAGACTTTAAAATTCATAAAGAAGACACTTAATCACTACAAACAAGTACTGCAATTCCATGCTAATTTTCACATCTGTAATTTGCAAGTTTTCTTTTCAAAATTACTATTATTAGTAACAGAGTAAGCAGCAAAATCACATTAATTGACATTAACCATCCTTGATCACACAACAGTGCCAATTAAGCAATCATTCCCTCTATTTGCTATCACCTTTACTTAAGGAACTGCTTTATTAATAAGTAGAGCATAAAGCTTTAATGTAGAACTACAAAGTAAAAATTAGGTTTTTTTTTGGGTTTCTTTATGATGTATAAATCTGCTTACAGTTTTAGATTTTTTTTTTCCTGTAGACTCTATGATTTTCCTGTAGACTCTATTATTGAGAAACTTGTCAAGTTAAGGTATCAAAGAAACTTCACAAAGGGAGACCACGTTAAGTGAGAAGGAAAACGCGTTTGTTTATTCTCACTGCATGGAGCTGTTTGAATGTTGAGTGTGTGTTTTTGAGCCAACCATTGCAAAGACTGAGCAAGAAGGTCTTTGATAGCATTGCAGTTGCCTGGACACCTTATCCCATCAGTGTCTGCTTAATGTCTTCATGGAGTCCTCCAGCCAATTATGGCTCAGCGAGTCTTTCTGATGCAGCTAAGGTGACAGGCCACAAAATATCTCCTCTTAGATAGCAGTAGTCATAAAGGATTAAAAAGCAGCACAGATCCATTTGTTTTCTGGTTCTCTTTAAAATAATAACAAAACCTCAACTCTATTCCATGTTCCATTTCACATAGTATGGCCTAAGCATACTGCAATTAAAAAAAAAGAGGCTGCAGAGGAGTAAGGCAGCACTTCTTCCCTTCCAGTGCCGGGGGTGGTTTCCGCGCACGGGGGCAAGTCAGTGCCCCTCTGATCATGGAGCAGCAGTGGGTGGTTGTTCCTGCCGCTCGCTCCCGCCCAGCATCAGGTCTTTCAAATGCTTTTGCTGTGTCATAGCAAAAATGTGTTTTGCTGTTACACTAACCTGCAAGTATGTGGCTACGGTCTCACATGGCTGTGCAGGGTCCCCCCTTTTGTGCACTGCACAAGTGACCTCCCACAAACCGTGTGGCTTTTTTTGCCCTTCATGGCCAATGCTGACAGCCTGTGAGCTTCTTGGAGAAGGGACGAGCCCTGAGAGGCTGTCATGGGGAGAGCTGCTGTGAAAGCAAACTCATTCAAGGAACAACAATAATAAAAAAGAGCCCTAACAAAAAGCAACCAAGAAATCTTCCTTTATCTTTACACCTGGGGGAAAAAATCCTTTGTCAGCTCCGTTCTTAGGAGGGGAACACCAAACTTTGGCTACAGAGCAGGTTGCCTGCTAGGTCAAGGTCTTGGATTTAGCATTTGGATCCAAGTTGAATTGGGCAAAATTGTAGTTCAAGCTGTTGCCTTGGCTTGGGCCGTTATGCAAATAATCACTGTTGAGAATAAATACAGGATTCAGCTATTGATTTTGCATCCTATTGAAGGGCAGATAAACGGACTAGAGTGAATATGTTAGTTTGGGCACTTCCAGAATGGTTATGACCAATAACTAAATAATTATTTTCATTCATAAATTACAAACAACTTGACTGACTAGCTGGAGGCTTAGGCTTAGGCAGTAGAGTGAATGTTTTGCTTTCCTTATAGCTGCGCTGAGATTTCAGGGTTTCCACTACCCTGTACCTCGCTCTAGAACAAAAGCTGTGGCCACGGAATGCAGCAGGCGATGCCAGGCCGCGGTGCAGGCGCCCGCGCTGGGGACCAGCACAGCATGGACAGACAGGGGCCCCGCAGCGACGCTGCTGCCGGGAAGGGCTGCGCGTTCAGCTTTCAGGTGCGCTTGTCTGTGGAGAAAAGCACCCTCGGAGAGTGCATCCAAAATGCTAACTGCAGACTCCAAGGTGGGAAAATCTTGTGAACAAGCTAAAGGGGTGTTGCCCTCAGCTCTATGAGAAATGTCGTTAATTATTTTTAACCAAGCATCCCAAGAAACTGGACAGACTTTCTGCGCGCTCAAGTCCCCGGGCCGCGCGTTGCTCCGGAGGATGCCTTTGCTTTGCCCATCTAATCAACTGACTGAAGCTCACCCGGGATAAGGCCAGGGGCAAGATCTCTACCTCAGTGAGAGCCAGCAGAAGAGATGCTGCGAAGGCACCAACTTCTCGTCAAGTCCTGGAGTTACCCCACTCTGCCCTGCACTCAAATGGTCCAGAGATATCTTGAGGGGAAAACAATTTACTCAAATTTCCCTTGGAAGCTCCTCCATCCGCCTAGTGAGTAAGCGTAGATATTTCATCCTTTTTTTAACCCCTTCTTCTATTGGGGCATTTTCCCAGTGGAGATGGGTGCCCTGGTAATAATGGGCACATGAATCCCACGGGGGCTTCACCTCTGCTGTGAGTGAGTCTCCTCTGGCCTCTCGCAGTCAGCGAGGCCTAGTGCCCTGATGTGAAGCACATTAAGAGAATGAACAGGCCTGTTTGTAGGCTCTTCTATCGTGATTTTAATCTTGATGTATTTTGGGCATATTTTATTGGGCATCTGTCTGTATCTCCTAGTGAAGCACCGTGCCACAGTGCAGGCCACATATCAGAACCGAAGTTTGCTAAAGCAGCAGGATGCTGCTCTTGCCATTTGTGGTTTGGGAGCATGGTAAATATAAAGCAATATAAAACGTGGCACGATAAAGAATTGTATTTGCAAGGATTATAAATACAAACCGAAGCCCTCTCAGTTTTTCCTAAAATGGTGATTTTAGTGAAGATGGGAAATGAACATAACCAGCTGTTCTATGAGGAGAGAATCCTGAAGAAAATGTAGTGTCTCTGTAAACCACATCTTGGCCTCGGCTGCAAGCTGCAGTTTCCCCAGAGTCAGCAGGGAGCTGCGGGGAGCTGGAATTTAGGTCCAGCCCATTAATGAAACAGGGTCCAGCTGCAACACAGCAAATTGTGTCCTGCTCCCGAGCGCTGGGGCCGCTCACGTGGAGGGGCTGCGGGAAGGCGGCCAGGGAGCGTCACCCAAAGACAAAGAAGAGCTGCAGCCGTCACGCTGCCTGGGCTTTGCCTTGCGCTCCACAGAGAAAATTGGTTGTTGGAGAGAAATAAAGAGGAGGGGAGATGGGGCTGGCTGTTATTGAATAAAAGCCTCACTGTGCCTAAGAAAATAGATTATTTAAGAGTGGTTAAGTTACCGTTAGGCATGTGTGACCCCACTCTCCCACACGCGCTGCCCCCATCTGCTGGCTGCTGTGCTGCCAAGGCAAAAACTTGAGTGATTTTTTCGGGTCAGTTTGTCTGCTTTTTCTAAACTTTCCGCTGCCCCCGTGTGCGAATTCTCAGTCCATCTGCCCCCAGAGCCCCTTCAACCTGGCAAGGTTTCCCAAGAGGCACCCCAGCTCCTAAAACAAAGTGACCACCTTTCAGCCCTTTATATGCTCAAATAAGAATAATTTATCTCAATCTACCTTAAAATGGAGTTACTGCTGAAAAAGAGAAATGTCTATAATTTGCATGCTAAAATAAGAATAATCCATCTCAATCTCCCCTTAAATGGACTTTCTCATAATATGATTTTTATGAAGGTCCACAGGGCTAAAATAAGGTTAGAATAAAATGCTGTAGAGCTATAGCTGTAATTTCCTAATGTCACATTCAGAAATCCAAAGTCCTTTATTTTTTTTTTGTTCCAGATTGAATTTAGAGAAGCATAAGTCTTCAAAGCTGAGATGAGATTTTCTTTTCAAAGTTAGAACTAGTCATTATGGCTTCTGAAACCCAAGCAGGCTTTTGCCTGTAATTGCTCCTTCAAGCTGTGCTTCTGCCTGGTAAACAACCTGGAAAGCAGAATTCTGCAGAGCTGTGCGCTGCACAAGCCGTCAGCTCTGGGGGCTTAAGTCAAATAATAGATGCATCTTTTTACCCTCCTCCCCTCTCAGCCATTGGAGTCTCTTGACTATAGCCACAGTGATTTAGTGAAGTTAGTTTGCACATTCAGACTTAACACACACACAAAAATAATAGTCTCTTTGCTGGCTTTAAAAAATTTAAGAGAGGAAATGCTCCTTGGCTCTAGCTTTAGCTGGTGAAAGCTGATACTTTGCTCGCTAGCTTGCTCTTGCAGAGACTCCGGCGCGCGGACGCTGCAGTCATTTCCTCGGCTCGAGCAAGCAAGAAACATCTGCTAATGAAGAGCAACAAGATAAATCTGAAGCAAAGATGAAACCAAGACTTACCACTGCTAGTTCTTTGTCTGTTTTTGGAGTGCTGTCTCCAGGAAACTTAATGATTGGTGACGGTGCAGCTAAAGTTTTGCTAAAAAGATAGACGTGGATTAATAGTACTTCAAAAATGAAGCCAAAGGCAACGTGAGTCTTCATTCTGCCTAGAGTTGCGCTCCTTGGAGAGAGGTTTTCCTGCCCGGCTGTCAGTTACTTGAGCTTCACCAGTTGCTTATCTGCACATCTTAACTCCCTGCACCGTTTTCTCTTTTGCTTGCTCTAGCAATTCCTTTGTATGTTTAAAACATCCAGATGCGCAGCCTCAAGCTACCACAAGAGGAAGTCTGAAAACTGGTGGAAACATGAGAAAAGGGCAGTTACGATTTGAGATTGCTGTGATTTTAAGGTAGCAACAGGCAGATGCTTATTACTGCTGAAAGAGGCCACATTTTCTCCTTGTATGCGGGGACAAACACATTTAGTTAAGCCAGAGAGCACCAAAGGGTGAAATCTGAGCCAATGCTCAAGGGTCCCGGGTGCCTTTTACGTTTGAAAACTTTTCCTAAATGTTATTTTCTCGACTGAACTTTTGTATTATTTTTTAGCCCCTTTTCTTGCCACAGCCATAAGACTCTGCTGCAGTCATATGTGGCTTGGCTGCTCCCCAGCACCTTCAGTAAACATTTCTATTACAGATGTGGAGGCAGATGCTGCGCCGTGGCCGGGCCTGCTGAGTCCCAGGGCCACGAGAGGACGGGGCAGGTTGGGCTCATAGGAAGGGCCCCCAGCCACCGTCAGGGGAATGGCCCCAAATTCCCCATGTTCTCGTGCAGGGGGCTGGGCCATCGCTGTGGCTGCATTAATCTGAAATACTGCTATGAACATATCCATCTTCATGGGCAGGACAATCTCTTTATTGTCTTGGGCATGATATTGTGAGCTTTGAGATGTTGTTACGCACTGACCGTGTTTTAGCAGAATGTCCTTAATGGAGGGGCTCGGCTCGTGCCTGCTTAAGGCAGGAGGCCGGCAGTTCTGCGTGAATGAGAAGCGCGTTCCAGCCGGCCGGGCGTCCCAGAGCGCCGCGCTCCGACCCCAATCACAGCAGCGCGGAGGGCCCTCCGAGCCGAGCGCCAGCACGGAGCCCGGCCGGGCCTGCCCTGTTATTGGTGAAAGCTTTCCGGATACGACTCTTGTTACCAAATAGTCTGTGGATGAAAAGGGAATGTTTTGTGGGTATTCGGTATTTATTCATAATATTTTGGTATTTGATTGAAAATATTTAATATTTACCATTCTTTGGCTTCCTTCTAACATCAGACCGTTTTGCTAACTGCACCCGTCATCCACAGGGTGAATGTGTGAGAAGAGCAAAGGCTTCACACAGGGGCCAGGTGACTCAGAAAGCTCTAGCCAAAGCCTTGGGTGCCTGTGGAATTAATCTGGTTGAAAAGCAGCCCTGGTAGGTGCATGGCCCCTGGGTGAATCAGCCATGGGAATGGTGCTCGTCAGGCAGGAAAGGAAGAGGAGTTACTGGAAATTTTAACGCAAAGAGATCCTTCTTTGTAAAGAAAGCAGCTTTGGGTTTATGCCCTCTCGTGCTTCCATGCCCCTTTCCAATGGCACCAGAGACTTTCCCTGCATGGTTCAACTTGGAAGTTGTGTCTCCTTTTTCAACTCGCCCTTCAGCAAAAAACGCAGTCCCTTCTACGAGTCGCCTTAACAGAAACAGTTGTGAAAACATGATCTGCTTTTTCCACAGCTGGGCATTGGGTTCTGGAGAAGGGCTCTCCTGCTTCGGTGTGATGGCAGCTCCTATGCATGCCTGGCCACAGGAAACTGGGAAAGAAAAAACCTAGGCAAGCCTTCCCGACATGTGCCAAGCCACTCTTAGTTTATTGAAACAAGTAAGATTGTGTGTTGTGTCACTGAGTACCGGGGTTCTCTCTGCTCTGCAGTAGGCCAATGGCTGTTGTGAACCTTGCAGCACCCAAACTGCCCCGTTTCTGTAAGGATTCTGGCTAAGTGGTGGCAGCGCAGGAGTTTTCCTTCCGAAGGGTCGTGCAGTGAAGCCATTTAAAGCCAAACGTCTCCTGGCACATTCCTGCCATGCTCATAAACCTCACTGAAACCACAGGCAGAAATGGATGAGGCCCCTTGGGCAGGGTCTGCAAGACCATTGCAGGTGGAAAATCTCCTGTTTTGTGTCCTAACTTTGTGGATAGGGAGAGAGCCTGGAGGTCACTGCAGCCGGCTCCTGCGGCCAGTGCTGCTGCAGCCTGTGAACGGGGATATCCTGCCCCTACCAGGCCCCAGAGCTGGCCCTGCTTGGAGACGTGCTGGATGAGATGGTTTCCTGAGGTCCGTTACAGCCTCACTTGCTCCATGAGCCTACCAGCCTTGCTGAGTTTGAAACAACCTCCTAAAGCTGCCTCCTGTTCCCTGACTAAAACAGCTTAAACCTGCAGACTGAAACATTGGAGTTGATGCATTTCGATACTGCTAGATTGACAGTGTGATTGTCATTAATATTTACTCATGGTACTCTATGGACATAGTCATTCTATACTCTGCATTTACCTCTTTTATAGACTTCTGGCTACTGAATAGTTACATAGTAGTTAAAACTCAGGTGGGAAAAAAAAAAACAGGAAAAGTGGAAGAGAAAGAAGAAAAAGACCCACTGGGAGGGAACACAGGCCACCTAGCAACTTTATGGAGGAGCTGAAAGAGAAACCTAGATCATTTTCTCTTAATTTAGTATTCAGACTGTGAAAAGAGCTGAAAGAGAAACCTAGAAACCTCTTAATTTAGTATTCAGACTGTGAAATATTTTGTCAAGGTACATCATTGTTACCTCTGGATTAGCTGCAGAAAGTGAACACAGTTATAATTACAGCTACAGCCTGGGTTCTCTTTGTGGAAAAAAAAAAATGTTTCAATGTTGCAGGTACCTTCCCTGTCGAGTAAGAGGTGTGTTTGATCCGCATGGCCTATCCTGATGCAGGAGGGAGAAACCCTGCTCTCCAGTCACCCGTGTTGGTTTCGGGCTTTTGGCTTCATATTCCGTTGCGGAACCATCTACTTAGTGAGGAAGATGCCAGCTTTGCATGTTAAATGCCTGCTTTTATGCATCAGTAGGAACTGCATGGCAGAAAGCACACATTAGGAGACACAAAATGCCTCTTTTGAGGATAAAAGCAATGACAGCAGAGGGAATCATCATCATGTCTTGTGTTATTAAGCTGTAAGCTACATATCTCAGTAGGTCTAACTGTGATAACAGGCACTGTTAGTATCGCTATTTCCAAAATTATATTAAAAGCTGATTATTTCCTTGTGGTTCCAGAGAAATATTAGAGAGAACATCAATGAGCACTGTTCCTTGGAGGTTTCGACTTAGTGGATTTTTCATTTTTTGTAGTGGGTTTTTGTATTTTAGTTTGAAACCTTTTGCTGAGCTAAATAAATAAATAAATAAATATCAGGAAAATGAAGGTTGCAAGAAGGCACCTGGTCATCTGCCCATAGCTGGGTGTGGAGGGATGTGAATCTCCAAGTAAACTCTTGCTGTACTTTATATCTACATTCCCATCTTGCTTTTGCTAATTCTAGGTTCTGAAGGGTCAGTTTATAGCTTCCACTTTAGGAATCAAATCAACAGTTTGATTTAATGACCATGGGCTCACATTGATTTTAGCAGGATTTTTCAAAAAAAGAAAAAATAATACATTACAATTGGCAGAAAGTTGCCAGCGTAGTGCACTGAGGGGGTTTCATCCAGAACTTCCAAGGGATTAGAAGGCTGGCAGTTCAGGTGATGGAGAAGTTTGCTTGGGCCTGAGGAAAGCTGTGATTGGGGCTTTCCCAGGTGCAGCTTATCCAGGTCTTTGGCTCCTTCCTGACTTGTCATGATTGTCCTGCAGCTCCTTTTTTGTGTCCTGATGCTGTTCTGTAAGTTCATCAGGGTCATTGTTCCATGACCACCTTCCTTCCAGCTGGAGGAAAGGAGTTTATAAGGATGGGGAAAATCAAAGAATTCCAGGAAGAAAGCCTTGGATGTGGCTAATCTCAGGGGAGCAGCTCTCTTCCCACCTGCTGCCTAGGACAGCACTGCACTTCTAGGAAGGCTTCCCCAGGGGTGCCCACCTGAAGCCCCACCAGACCTGAGGTATGTGAGACCCTAACCTGCTCCCTGCTGCTCTTCCAGAGGTGCCTCCCTCAAAGAGGGGCAATCTGTGCAAATAATAATGTGCATATTCTAAGAGAATACACTTTTTTTTCATGGTATTTTGCACTGGTAAAACAATAAGCTCCAAGTATCTGCCGTGTGCTTCATCCTGTGCCAGCAGTAGCTGTGGTGGGTGTTTGCTGGACTGACTGGTGGACGTGCCCCCTCATAGGGGCAGAGGGAGGCTTCCTAAGAGCAGTTTTCCAGCCAGGCATGTCTCCTGGAAGCAGGGATTAGCCACAGCAGCCTCACTCCATTTGAAAGGGTTAATAACTTAACGAGCAAGAGCTCATTTATACTGCTGTCAAGCGAGTCCATCTAAGATGCGTGTGCTGATCCCACCAGGGCACTAAGACTCAAGTATCCACATGGTTTGTACCCACCCTGGCTGGGTGTCCTGTCTGCCTGCTCGGTGCAGCCTCAGACCCCTGTGATCCCCATCTGCAGTATCCGAGCCCTGCACGAGGGAGTCTCGAAAGGGTTGGAAACACGTGTGAATGTGTGAGCGTGTGCGGGGGCCGAGGGGCCAGATGTGGCTTTCAGCATGTAAGGTAGCAATTATACTTTTGCTTTTGTTCCTCACATCTCTTCTGTTTTGGGAAGTTAGGTCCTAAGGACATGAAGTTCCGCTGCCACATGGCTTTGGTTTGTTAGCTTACTGCTAAATTAGAAATGAATTTTTGGTAATTCTGTTACTCCAGATGAGGCATTTTCCATTGCATATGTTCATTGTACTTATGTCTGAAGCAGAAATTCCAGCCTGTGTCCTCAGCTGCTGCTAATTGTCATTGCAAAGCTCCTGCTGGGAGAGTTGCTTGGGCAGGACGAGGTGGAGCGGCTGCAGTTGCAACCCCAGGCCCAGCTTACATGTGGCACCGGGGCGGGCGCCTGAGGGGAGGTTCAGACTGCAAACTCTGCTGAGAAATTTCTCTCATCTTTACACGTTCCCCCTCTTTTCAATTCTTAAATTTTGAGTAGTGTACTCCAGAGCAGTTTTAATTATGTAGTTTCAGGTATCTGATTGGATGGAATGAGATCTGGTGAGTTCATTTTGCTTCAATTTGGAGCCTGAAACTTTGTTGCATCTTGG